GAGCAGCACTGCATTATGTATAAATAGCACATTTTTTTATTCAGTCTTCTACTGATAGACATTTAGACCACTTCCAGTATTTAGCCATTATGAGTTGTGTTACTCTAAACAAGTTGCGGTAATTAACTAATTTTATCAATTTCAGTAAGAAACACCCAACTAAATTGGCTCAGCATAGTTCTGGGTGTGGTTGAAAGAATTTACTGAAAATAGAAAACTCACCTTAGGTGTGAGCGGCACCAACACTGTGCTTGTTGCCCCAGTGAAATAAAAGAAAAAAAAAGAAAGGATCACTGTTTCCTCAGAGGAGCTCCAATTGTCATGCTCACCTTGGGGTCCTGTTCAAAAGGCCTTTGCCTATGTCCATGTTTTCAAGAGTTTTACTTATTTTACCTTCTAGCAGATTAAATATTTCTACTTTAACATTTAGATCTTTGATCCATTTTGATTTCACTTTAGTGAAATTATGAGAGACATGGGTCTAGATTTAATCTTTTGCATATGTACCGTCATTTTTCCCAGCACCATTCGCTGATGAGGCTATTTCTCTCTAGTGTACGTTTTTGCCACCTCTGTCACTGATCAGATAGTTCAATGTGCCTGGGGCTATTCCTTTATCCTTTAGTCTGCTCACTGATCCACACGTCTGCTTTTCTGATGCTGCCTTCATCATAATAGCTTTGTAGCATAACTTGAAATCTGGGTTTGTGATGCCTCCTGCTTTGCTCTTGTTGCCTAGGACTGATTTTGCTATTCTGGCTCCCTTCTGTTTCTTCATGAAGTTACAATTGGTTTCTCTAGTTCTGTGAGGAATTCAGTTGGTATTTTGATTGGAATTGCATTACATGTATGTCAGTTTTAGAGTATGGATATTTTAACAATGTTGGTTCTGCCTATCTAGAAGCAGGGGATATTCCTTTTTTTTTTTTTTTTTTTTTTTTTTTTTTTTTTTTTTTTTTTTTTTTTTTTTTTTTTTTTTTGTGAGACAGGGTCTCCCTATGCAGTTCAGGATGGCCTCAAACTTACTATATAATGCGGGATGGCCTGAACTTGTTGCAGTTCTCCGGTTCAGCCTGCCAAGTGCTAGGATTATAGGCATGCACCACCATGCCCAGTTTATACATTCTGATTTCCTGTTTGGCCTCTTTTTTTCAGAGCTATGTTTTTAAAATTATTCAGATGGCTATAATCATCCTTTAATATTGATATATTTGAAATAAGATCTACCTAGTTCTAGGGGCTTTTGTCTGATTCCTCAATATGAAAATGTAGAGATATTTATTAAACATTTTGGTTCAACTAACAGGCATTTTATGTATTTTTTATGTATTTATGTATTTTTATGAAATAACAAATAAAATTATTTTGTATATATTAAAGATATTGCACATATTAAGGTGTACAATATTATGCTTTGCAGTGTTTGAGATTGAATGTAGGTCCTTGTACATAATAAGCAAGCCCTCTGTGTACTATTTCCTTAGACCAAACACACACACATTTCAAACATTTTATAATAAGATTTACTTACTGGAGAAACCAGTATTATTTCTTATGTTTATTCCACTGAGATGGTACTCTATTAACTGTTATGTATATCGTAAAATCATTATTAGCATCAAGAAGATCTGTTTTTACCTTCCATAGTTACCTTAGTGTGTATGTTGCTAAAATCTACTCTCTTACTAAGTTTTCATTTTGTATTACAACATTAGCCACAGTTCCAACACTATACTTTAGATGTCCAGAGATATTCATTTTTATAACTGCAAGTTTCTTCTCTTTGACCTATTTCTCATTTTCTCTTCTTACCACTTCTGGTAACCACCATTCTAGTCTTTGTTTCTGTGTATTTTATCCCAACCTCCACCCTCAGATTACACATGTGAGAGCCTACTGTAATATTCCTTTCTAATGTCTGGCTTATTGCATTTAGCATAATGTGCTCCAGGTTACAGATTATATTTATAAAAGAGACTTTAAGGAGAAGTAAAAAATGTTTACGATGATTACAAATTAATTTTGTTGGGGATAAATGACCTGTATATGTTTGGTTTCTTAGGCTATATAGTTGGCACAGTTTTCATTTTGTGAAGGATAGAAACCATTCATCAAACCAACTCTTTCACATTCTGCTGGATTACACCATGGTCCTCTTATGCCTTTTTGTCTCTTCTTACCTTGATCTTTTTCACCCTTTTTCTATGTTCAAACCTGAGTCTTTATAACTTCCTCACCAAAATATGTGATATTTTCTTTCACACATTTCCTGATAGCTTTGCTTATCTGATTTCAAGAAATGCAAGCATTCTGCATGAAAGGCAGCCCACTAGGGGAAAGAAATGGCTAATTCCTGGCAGCTTTTCTCAGGGTGGTCTGCAGCTCAGGAAATTAGCACTGAGACCCTACTATTATCAGTACAAGTGAGACAAATACAAGGTTTATCTTTTTTGTAGATCTGGTTTGCAGAATAAAGATTGTGTTCCCATTACTATTGATTTTTTATTTTAGACAGGGTCTCACTATGTAGTTCAGGCTGGCCTTGAACTCACTCTATTGCTCAGGCTGACTTCAAACTCGGCAATCCTCCTGCCCCAGCCTCCCGAGAGCTGGGATTACGGGTGTGCGCCACCATGCTTGGCCCTGTTGTTATGAATTAGGATATCCTCAGTCAGACTGCACGATCAAGAAGGGTAACAAAGTCTCATTTCACTGAAATAAAAATATGAAGCAGTATTAGTTTTTCCAATAAGTTCCTCCTATTACAAAATTATTATTTATCTCTTCCTTACTATTTTGCCTTGTTAGAGATCTATGGAAGTATTATTAGATGGAAAATAAGGTAGAAATGCTCTTACCATCTAATAATACTTCCTTCATCTGCAGACAAGTGGGCTCACTATACTATCTCCAGGGATGGCATAGTAATGTAAGGTCTGCCTTGGAATTTGTCTGGTGCTTGGTGATGTTGATAATCTCTGTTGATGTAGTCTCCATAGATTTCCTAGTTGAGTCTTCCTGGGAAGGGAGGTAAGATTTAAAACCTAGATTATGTGGGCTTTGGTAGCCACTTTCATAAGTTTAAATTTTGTTTTTTGAGTTTGAAAAGAAGGCTTTGGAAGGTTTATATAACATGATTTGATTGTTTCTTCAGTTAGAACTTTCTGTTAAGTCAAAGAGAAGAGCAAGAGTTGAGGAGTTAAGAGGTTTGTAGAAGGGCCAGGGATTTAGCTTAGTGGTACCACCACCTACCTCTTAAGTGCAAAGACCCAAGTTGGATCCCTGGTATGAAAAAAAGAAGAGGTTTGCAGAACTCCAGATGAGAGATGACTCTTGAATTATAGTGATTGAAGGCATTCTGATTGCAGATTTATCAGAGCCTTCACAAGATTTGGATATGAGGTGTGAAAGAAAATGGGGAGAGAAGACCTAAAGGAAAAGGTGAAATCACAAGCTACAAGGCAGTCAATAAAATCACTGGAGAGGGCAGGAGAATATTTTGGTGCTTGTATAATCACCATCTCATTGCTGGGGTAAAATACCACACAAACACAATTTACAGGATAAGATGTTTATTTTATCTCATGGTTTAAGAGGTTTCATGGGACAAAATGAAAAATACAACTTGAAGAAGAAAAGGATTATTTTGATTTATGGTTTTAGAGGTTTCGGTTGATTGTCAACTGGCTCCATGGCAGAAACAGCATGGTGAAAGAAAGCTATGGATCTCATGGCAACCAGGATGCAGAGTGAGAGGGAACGAGCGAGAATGAGAGAGAAAAGGCCCTGGCACAGAATATACCCTTTCAGATAATGCCCCCAGTGACCTATGTCCTTCAACCTGGTCCTGCCTCCAGCAGCAAATTTAGCAGTGCATTTGAGGTCATGATCAAATCCCTCATGGTCCAGTTGCCTTTCTAGACCCCCACCTCTGATGCTACAATGGGCATTGAGTATTCAATATTTGAGTCTTTGTGGGACAGACCATGTTAAACCTCAACAGTATGCAACTGGAGACACTGACAAAAATAGGAAAAAAAATATAATTGAAGGGAAGTGACCTAAAAAAAGTACAGTGGAATAATGGTGGCAATGGTAAGATTTGTCCTTCTTATCTGTTCCCATGAGTCAAAGAAGAAACAAGAGGAAATGTCCATTTAACTGAAAGTGGTATTGTCAAACAAAACTAGATGTCAGACAAGATGGGGCAGAAAAAGGAAGTGTTTATGATAAGATTAAGAATTTAGAGGGATTTAGACATAATAAGATTATACTAAAGAAATCCAGGGATGGTGCCCTTAAATGAAGCTAAAAAATGAGGGTTAGATGAAAAAGTCCCAGGGCTCCCTGATTCTGTCACGATCCCTTAGTGCTATCATGAGCAATAGACTGACAGCACATGTTAGGAACAAGGAATGAGCAACGCTGAGCGAGAAAGTCTGGTTTAAAGGCACAATTTTATAATTTACCAGTGTCAAGGTTCCAACTGGAATGTTAGCATGATAGTAGGTATGTTCTGTGTTGATGGGAGGGTGTGGGATGGGTCTTCTCTCTGTTTTAAAGTTTTGCTTGGCTCTTTCCTAATTTCTACATTTATTGTTGGGTAGAGCAATTGTGACATCAGAAGGAAACCAGCCAATCATGGTTTCTGCTTTTCTTCTAAATTTTCTTCTCATTCGTATTAGCCTTTTTCTTGCTATGTATTTATCTTCCTCTGTGACCTATTTCACCTGCTGTATGGATTTTAATATGTTATTCGATATGCTAACTTATAGTACTTTAGTTCTTGTTTGTAACAATTTCATAGACAAAAATCTTACTCAACTGGAATGTACCTCTTGTCATAAGTCACAGCTATCTGATATCAACCAGTTACTTATTTAGAAAATGAACATTAGTGCTAGGTGACCACATCCTGTGAACCTAGTATCATTTCTGTGGTAATGTTACCATGTGACATCATGAATGGCTTAATGTCTAAACAGTGATCATATAGGTTACACCTTTCACATGAAGGATAAGCAACATCTTCAAACAGAACATGAAATTAATGAGAGCAGCTGGTGAGACTGAGGGTTTGAAAACTATCTAGGCACTTTATCATCAAGCTAAACATTATCTCTTATTTAATGAAAATTATGTTTATTAAGGAATTTACATATACCACTTTATTAGTATATATGTCACACTGTTTTCAAACTTAGCCATCAGAAGAAACTTGCACTTTGGAGTTACAAGATTATTTCTTCCATGATGGGAGAAGAGAGAGAGAAGAGGAAAAAAAAGGGTTAGATATCCAGATATAAGAGAATTTAAGCTGAGGAATGGAGAAATTCATGAATTTTTTCATGTGAGGGGCTCGATGAATTATGAACAGGTCATGTAGTTTAGCTGAGTGATTGGATTTCCAATTGAAAATGTTTCATCTACAACTTTTAGCTTTGAAGAAAATTTAAAAAGTATTAGCATAACTCAACAGTGATTCGTTAGGTGTGTCTTTTGCAAAATGCAAATATGTACTAAGATATAAATGATTAGAAACAACTTTTTATAGTAACCTGAATTAAGATGGAATTCTGAATGCTTGCAGCTTCTATATCACTAAAAGAATTTGTTGAATCAACCAAGTGGATCTTTTAAAATGGATTGTCAAGATACAGACTGCAGATGCTGTTTTGGGCATCTAAAATGTTCTCATTTAAGGTAATACTGTTCCTACTTGAACTTTATATTTCATTTCTCATTTATATTTGTCTTCACACTGTATTATAGGGTTTGTAAAGGTAAGAGTAATATTCTCAGAATTTTGCACAACTGGTGACATTGTATAACTTCTCAGTAAATGTTGATTAATAATCTAATTTGAATCAGAGATTAATCAAGTTGACAAATTATGCTAATTAGCACAACCTTTTATTATAAAACTTCGATTTGTGGTCAAAATTGAGATAGCAGTAGGAAAATGCAAACTTCACATATACTGGAGTCATTTTAACCTTTAGTTGCCACTCTCTCTAACAAACCTTTTGTAGAGATCATTTTGATGTGGTTGAGATATGAGTTGGTAGCCGAAGTCCCATTGGGAGCAGAAAGGAGAAGTCAAGAGTTTAGAAATTAACAAATTACATTATCAGTCCTCATCATATTTATGTGCAACAGAAATAACATTTGCTATTGTTTGTGTATAGAGGATACTCTGGTCCCAACTGATAGACGTAGGAGAGTTACTTAAAGCTTTTTATCCTTTGTTTTTTTTGGGACAGGGTCTCACTATGTAGTTGAGACTGACCTGAAACTCACTATGTAGCCCAGGCTGTTCTTGAACTCACAGACATCCTCCTGCCTCAGCCTCCCGAGTGCTGGGATTACAGGCGTGGACCACCATGCCCGGCTTATTCTTTGTTAATACAACAGATAAAATACTTCTGGGTGCTCCCCAGAAGGTCTTAAACCACATTCTAGGAATGTAGTTACTTCATTGGCTATTGCACTTTTTGATTGATTTCATTCTAATTTGCTACATAAGTACTGTGGCTGTATGTCATGGAATTTACTTTGTTATGAAAATGTGTATGGAAATTTGTTCATTACAGAGGCATTGTATGACAAACTGGACATCCAAGGGGCCAGTAACTGAGGTGATGATGTTAGGAGGGACTTTAACAACATAGAGACATTTAAAAATCAATTAATTCACTAAAGATAATTATTTCAAAGCTAACTTTCAGTGATTCTATAAAAGTTTCAAAGGGAAAACCATTATGTATTCCAGCCTATAATTACATTCAAGAGAAACAGATTAGATGCTTCTAGTACATTGTTAGAAGCAGACATTGTTAGAAGCGCTTCACTTCAAGCCATCCACCAGGACTGCAGACGATGCATTGAAGCTTGTGATACAGGGGGGAAAAATACAATTCCCAAACCACTAGATGTAAGATACAACGAGTTCATTTCGCCTGAAATCGAATGAACTCCAAAGGACAAAGGAGGTTAAAGAAATAGGAAAAGTTTGCTGGGGAGTAGGAAAAGCTCCTGAGAGACAGTAGGGGACCTGGAAATGGATTGTAACGGAGCCTCTTTGTCTGGGGTAATTTATAGAGTCAAGTTACAATATGTGTACAATGTGGGTCAAATTGTAACCAAGCTATAGGATTACAAGTCTAGCTGCTTTGCTAATATTGATCCACTAGGAAAGTAGGTCAGGTAACAAGGGTATGTGGAAAGAACAAAGGCATTTTTTTCGAAGGGATGGGTCCAGATGCTTTGGTCACCCACCTGGGTGACTGATGTCATTCTGGACTTTACTGGGTTAGGTAGTGCTAATTACAGTACAATTCCAAGTTACCTGTTGTCCCTTGGGGAGGCATGTAGGCCTGGCCATAACATTTTATTTGGGGCCTGGCCTTCCAGAGGTGCTCCTCCAGCCTCAATTCTGACGTCTTTATCTTTTCTGCTGTCTTCCTGGACAGCCTACTCCCTGTCTGACTGTATATTAATTTCTGTCTAACTTAGCTGCCTATAATAGTTGGACATAAACCGAGATATGTCATCTTTTTCAAAGTCTACTTAGAAATTTTGGTTTGGCTGCAAAACTTTTTGGTTAGGAATAAAAAGTCATTTGTAAGTTGCTAAATTTTCCCCTTGGGGTGAGGCGGGTAAACGCAGGCAGGAGTTCTATTTACAGTACAGTTTGCAAGCCTTCTAAACTTTAAAGAGAAATCCATTAGAGGGCAACTGAAAGAGGCAGAAAGGGGAATGATTAAAGAACCAGCTGTCAATAATAGTGCAAGGCCCTGTCAAGATTGGTTTCATTCATTTGACCTCCAGGTACGCAAAAACCTCAGTTAAAGGAGAGGAAATGGAGACGTACAGAAATCTGGAGATTGTTCTAGTGAGGGGGACAAAAGAACTTAATACCATCAGTGTGGGTGTGCGTGTATGTGTTACAGGGGAGCTGCCAGGCCCCACTTGCCCAGTAGGAAACTGAGGCAGAGAATGAGGAAGCATGATCAACAGGGAAGGAGAAGCAGCATTTAAGTGCAATTTGCTGCTGAAATTTAGTAACACTTGGGGATCCGGATGGCAAAGAGGCGGTAGTTCAGTTCTTTAGGAAACAATGAGGGATATTTCCAGCAGGCCCCTCCGCCAGCTTTGCCCCAGTTCCTGCAGGATCCACAGAACGGAAGTTGTCTACCAACAGGAAGAAAGCTTCCTCCTTTGGCAGGGCTCCCTCTCTTCCCTCCAGAGGTGAACCAGGAGAAAATTGGCGTTCTCTGGATCTTTAATCTCCAGACCTTGGGGGCGGGAGGAGGCGGAGCTTGTGGAGGTCAGCGGAGGTGCAAACCCGGCCTCCTACGCCTTCTCGGCTAGCACAGTCTGTGTTCACCAGCAGCTCAGAGTCTGACAGTGACCGCAGCAGCAGCAGCAGCAGCCCGGGCCACAAGCTCAGAGCCCAAGAAGCCATGGCGAAGTCCAGGCGCCGACTGTACCTTTGGATGTGCTTGTCTGCAGCGCTGGCATCTTTCCTGGCGGGCTTTATGATGGGTAAGTGTAGAAACCGGGCCTCCCCTTTTGCTCCCCACTCAGGCTAGAGCTCCTCACAGCACTGGTCCCCTGTGAGTGACCCGCAGGCAGCCGGGGCTGCAGGGCTGGGGATGGGCGCTGGTCTTCCCGCCATCTCTGAGGACTCCAGCGCAACTAGAAACCGAATGGAATTTCAGCAAAACTAGACGCCAAAATTCGAATGTAGTAGATACTCGTCAAGGTCGAGCTATTGTTAAGGGCTGCTGAAAAGACAACTTAGGGCTGTCACCATCCACAACAATGGAAAAGATGAGTCCTCAGGATCAACTAATGTACAGCAGTGCCGGGCACTGCCCTTTCCTCATTTTTAAATAAATACTTTTGGAATGCTCTCAGTGTACCTCAGGCGCTGTTCCAGACTAAATTCAGGGCAGGGAGAGTGAGAAATTTCTCCTCTCAGTGGAGAAATGAAAGCACGTCCCTCAAGTGAAACTTGACCAACTAAGAGTTATACTGTACATCAGAGTTCGAAAGTTTTCTGCATTGAATATGGATCTTTAAAAAAAATTTCAGCATGATTTGTGTATTTATTTGTAAGGTACAAATGGGCTTTGTCTTTTTCATTTTAATTTTGGGCAGAGTTCTTTTCAAAACCGATTGTGTGTGTGTGTGTGTGTGTGTGTGTGTTGTGTGTTTTTTCCTCAGGCTGGTTTATCAAGCCTATCAAAGAAACAAGCACTACAGAGCGGTATCATCAAAATATGCGGTGGAAGCTAGTATCAGAAATGAAAGCAGAAAATATTAAATCATTTCTTCGGTGAGTTTGGCATTTTTCATCCTAGAAATAGTGTTTAAAATGCTGCATAGTCAAAAGTGTATTAAAATTGGTTATATCTATTTGTGAAGTCTTTGTGTGAAATTCTACATTATTCATAATTTAAGTTTATGGTTGTTTAAAATCTCTTAAAGCCATCTGTAGGAATTAAATGAATGGTTTGTTACAGAAGTACGTGTTTCTTCCCTAACTGCATCTTCTAAAAAACATATCTGATTGGTTTACTGAGAGAGGTTTTAAATTCATGTAACTTTGGGCTGAAACTGAGTGTTATTGTTTGTTCCTCATGCATGCATTTAATCAGCACATTTCTTCTTTTTTAAACATGCCGTGTTCTCTTAGGAAAAGTGAAGAGATTGTAAACTCAGTGTGTTAGTAAAAATGAGGTCAACACTTCAGATTCTGTCTGCTACAAAGTTGTTTTCAGATAGTATAGAGGGAAAACAAAAGTGATCGGTGCAAATCCTCCAGCTCCTAGGCATGGTGAAGAGTGATATTCGGAGGAATGTTTACAAACTTCTTGAGGCAGTTAACATAACATTTATTTCTCTTTCATTGGTGTGCCATTTGAAAAAATCAGCTTTATTGAAATGTGATTTACATAAAATAAACTGCCTGTCTATAAAACCAACAATTTGGGAATTTTTACAGATGCTATTCTATTCAACACACTACCTCTTTAATCAAGACACAGAATAATCCATCATAACCTTTGCAGCATATTTGTCCCTTTAGCTTGGGCCCTAGATAATCACTGATTAGTTTTATGTTACTTTATTTGCACTCCCTGGATTTTATATAAATGGATTTGTAGCATGTGCCACCTCTGGTCTACCTTCCTTCACTCAGAATAATAATTCTGAGATTCAGCCAGTTTGTTGAATGTGTTATTATTTCATTATTTTTATTGCTGAGTAGCATTCCAATGTAAAGTTGAGGGATCTTTGGGTTTTATCTATTTTTTTATTATGGTGAATTAAATTTACAAAAGCATATTTACAAGTCTTTGTGTGGATTTGTGTTTTTATTTTTCTTGGGAGGGCTGAATGATAAACATGTGTTAGTTTTATGTGTGTCAGGTGCTGGAAATCAAACCCAAGGCTCACACATGCTAGGCAAATGCTCTGCCTCTCAGCTGCATACCTAGTCTTCTTTAGCTTTTTAAGACAATAAAAGAGATTTCCAAGTGGTTGTGCCATTTCGCCTTTCTGCCCATGTATGTCTAGTTGTTTTAAATCCTGGCCAATACTTACTATAGTCAATAATTTTAATTTACTCACCACTACTGTTGCTGAGTAGTGGTATCTCACTGTAGTTTTTCTTTGTTTTTTACTTGGGATCAAAATCGGTACTTGTACTTTCGAGGCAGGCAGTAGAACCACTGAGCCAAATCCCAGGCCCCTTTCACTTTAGTTTTGATTTGCATTTTCCTGATGACTAGTGATGTTAAAGATTTTATGTGCCTGTGGGGTGAGGTGGAATCTCAACGTTGTTTTCATCTGTATCTCTCGAATGATCAGTGATGTGGAACATTTTTTCATATATTTACTTGCCATTTTTACTTCTTTTTCTGAGAAATGTCTGTTCATTTCAGAGGCCCATGTTTGAATTGGGTCTTTATATTGGGGCAGGGCCTGTTTTGAGTTCTTTATATATTCTAGATAATAGTACTTTATCTGAGGAACAGCTGGTAAAAATTATTTCCCTCATTGTAGGTTGTCTCTTCGTTCTGTTGATGGTTTCCTTTGCAGTACAGAAGCTTTTGGCTGCTATCAAGAAATCAAACAATAACAAATGTTGGCAGGGTTGTGGGGAGAAAGGAACCCTTCTCCATTGTTGGTGGGAGTGCAGACTGGTGCAACCACTGTGGAAATCAATATGGAGATACCTCAAAGAGCTGGGACTAGAGGTTCCATTTGACCCAGCCATCCTTCTGCTGGGTATCTTTCCAAAAGAATTAAAAGAATCATACCACAGTGATGTATGTGCACCTATGTTTATAGCGGCACAGTTTGTAGTAGGCAAAACTTGGAAATAGCCCATTTTCCCTTCAGTTGGAAACTGGATAAAGAAGATGTGGTTTTTCTATAAAATGGAATACTACTCAGCCATAAAGAATGAGAAATTAGATTCATTCAAAGGAAAATGGATACATATTAAGGATATACTCCTAGCTGAAATGAATAAGTAACACATGTATAAATGCCGAATAGTTTCTCTGGTGTGAATAAGATCCTAATAATATAATTGACAATGTGAAATAGGAAGAAAGGGGCTAAAGGTGTAGGGAAAGTGGGAAGGGTAGGGGAAAGCTAATAAGGGAAAAGAAAAAATAGAAGAAAATGAAAAAATGGAAATGAAATGTTTGTAAATGGGGAGGGGAGGAGAGGGTGAAGGGAGGGCAGGGACAAGGGGAAAAAAGGAGAACCAAGACCACGTGTCATGTAAAGGTACAAGATCCCAATAATGAATGTAACTACTCTATACCTAAAATGTACCAATAAACTAAATGAAGCAAAAATAAATAAATAAGTAAATAAATAAAACTTAAAAAAGAAGATTTTATGTGCCTGGTAAACATTTGTATACCTTCTTTTGTAAGGCATTTTAATTATGTATTCTGGAGATAAGTCCTTTGTCAGGTGTTGTGACTTGTTTTAGATGTCCCCCCAAAGCCTTATGTGGTTTTATGTAGGGCTTTTTCAGAGGTGACTGAGTCTAGAATGAGTGATTGATTCATGGTGCAATGGTAGATCCAAGAGAACGAGGATTAAGAGAGTGAGTGCCATCCACACTAGGTAGTCTGAATAAGGTAAAAAGAGCAGGAAGATTTCTCTTGTTGATTTTGCTACCTTTGGTGCACCATGAACTGGTGTCCCTTTGTCATGTGCCACACTGCCTTGCAGCCAGCTGATTGTGGACTGAAACCTCTCCAAACTGTGAGCTACATAAACCCTTCCCACTTTAAATTTGAGTGTCAGGTATTTTGTTCCAGAAATGAGAAAAGTAACTAAGACATCAGGCATATGCATTATAAACTTCTTGGAAGGATAGGTATTTTGTTTTCATAGTGCTTTTTAAAGGCCAAATATTTAAAAATCCCATTAAAGTCCATTTAAATAAATTTCTAAAATTTCATGCTCTTTGTTATATCTAACTTTACTATGAGATTTTCTTCACTATTCTTTTAGAAGTTTGCGTATTTAGTTGAATGATCTATTTGAAGTTAATTTTTGTGTATGGTGTGATCTGAACATTGATGGTATGCATAAATACAAATATTCAATTGTTCCTGAAAAACTTGTTGAAAAATATTAAGATGTGTTTTTTTTTTATTATGTCTTAAAATTCTTTTGGCCTCTTAGTTTCTCTTCTCTTGAGACTAGTGAAACCCTAAAAATCCATGTGCAAAGTGAAATGGCTGTGCTACCTACGATATATGCCCCTCATCTGTGTTGGGGTCCTGAGATCACAAAGTTCAACATTGGTTTCCATGGATGAACTAGAGTAAGCTGTAGTAGTGAGGAATGAAAGCAGCAAATTGTCCACACAGTGCAGTGAAACACACACTGCCATATCAAGTGAGATAAACTGCTTATATTTAAATCTGTGTAATTTAAAAGACCAGGTAAGATGTTCACACTACTGAACTCTGCGGCATATCAGTGTCCCAATGAAAGAACCTAGAAAATTACATGAGGCATCAGAAGAAAAACTCTGTGACCCTCTTGACCAAACATTAATACTATATGTCTATTTACTTTACTTGTTTTAATATTATATAGATATAAATAGATAAGTTATATATGCCATGATTGTCTTCTTGTGGTTGACTTTTCCTTCCTTTGCATCCAATGGAATGCAGAAGTCACACACCAAGAATGATGACAGGAATAAGGATAGAGAAAAGTACAGTGCATTAGGAGCACAACTTTATTATTTATTTATTTATTTATTTATTTATTTATTTATTTATTTATTTATTTATTTATTTATTTATTTTATACTGGGGATCGAACTCGGGACATTGAGCTTGCAAGGCAGGTGGTAGCACTACTGAGCTAAATCTCTGGCCCACAATCACAACTTTAATGAATGAAGGACCCACAGAATTGTAAAAGACTACCTAGAAGATGTAGTAGGTGGTGCACTGGGGTATGAGCCTCAAAAGAGCTATTAGCTTTGAAAGAAGAAAAAGGAAAAATATTAGAACCAATAAGAGTAATTAGGGATTCTAATTGAGTTTCTGGTTCTGAGATATGTCATGGGAAATAAAACAACTTGTAGCTGGACTGGGTCCTCAGAGGATACCAGTTAAAGCAGTAGTCAAGTAAACATTCACAGAATGGGCTGAGGATATTGCAGGGAATTGCTGATAATAGATGTAAGGGATTTATGAACATAGCAATATAGTTTATGGTGGAAAGGAGAGGTTCGAGATTGGGTGATTAGTGGTGAGGACAATTTGATTTCTTCAAACCACTTATTGGCAGTCTGTCAACAGTGTGTACCCACCGAGGATTTAGCTCAGTGGTTCCGCTCCTGCCCCGCAAGCTCAAGGACCCGAGTTCAATCCCTGATACCAGAACAACAAGAACAAAAACTGTGTACCCTCTTGCAGTAGGGGATGTGCTCAGTGAAAGTCCTTCCAGTTGGCCCAGAAATCTCTTGATCACTCCATACGCCAGTCTCTTTTCTCTGATTCTCTTCTCCCTAGCAATTATTGGTTAAGAAAGGGCTATCTGACTCTGTTATGCCTAATGAAATGGGAAGAAATCTTAATGGATCTTCTACAGCAGTTTTTTCTTTGTTAAAAGAAACATACAATAGGGAATAATTGTATTTGTGCTTTTTTTCTCCTGAACATGACCAAGTTGATATGTGACCCCCATCTTCAATCATGAGGAGAAACAAAAATGTAAACTCAAATGTATTCTGTTCTTTTTTTCCCCATGTCTGTATTTCATTTTAATGCGTCCTCTAAATCATGGAAGGTAGAGGTTCATAGTTAATTCCCCCTCTTCAACGAAATATATTTATTTTTCTTAATTACAAGAATATTAATCTTTCATTGTAAAAAATAAAATAATAAAGTATGTAATGCAGAAATTTCATAACTCCAGTTTCATTATTTTTCTTCTAGGGACATAAAGTAGCTCCTGTCTAGGTACATTTGTACTTTTTAAAAACAAATACTTAGGGTATAAACATTTGTAATCTACCATTTTCACTGAATGATTTAGAGAGGGTAAACTTCACAGAGATGATGCTTGAAGAGCTCTTGTGGGTGATTAATAGTTTACAGATGGGAAAGGGTGTTTGAGGGAAATTCAGGGAAATGGTACAATATCAAGGTCTGACAGAGGTATTGTGTAGAGGCAAAAATATGGGAGAGAGCATAGTCATTTCCGGAGGAAACTGAGTATACTTAATGACAGAGCAGGGAAGTTTATGAGAGCAATAGAAACATGATGCTGAAAAGGTGGAGGAGGGTCCAAGAGGGAAAAGCCCTAAGATGCCCTGCTGGAGCAAGAACTGTATAAGGCAGGACATAAGGAGCTGTAGGATTTTTAGCATGGCCCAGAGTTTATTAATTCTAACATCGTATTATAAATAAGATATTTAAAAATATAATTTTCTTGTTTGTAAAATGGGGACAAAAGAATGGTTTTGAAGATTAAATGAGATAGTGCATGAGAAAGTGCTAGGAGGCTGCTCAGCATAGAGTGAAATGTTAATTTACTTTTACTGCTATACATATTTCAGTTAACCTTTGATTAATTGAGAAACTATTATACACAAGTTTTCATTATTGCTGTATTGATGTAGGTGTGATGGTTGCAAAAGTGTTTTGAACACTCACCGAAAGCAGACTCAGTATTTTTTTTTTCTACTAAGTTTATCAGTACATTTTAGGTAAACAGTACAGTTACATTCATCACTGGGATCTTGTACTTTTGCATGATTTTTCTTGGTTCTTATTTTCTCCCCATTGCTCTGCCCTCCCTTCACCCCCTCCATCATTCCCTATTTACAAAGACTTTGTTTCCTTTTTTCTTATGCTTTTCTCATATTTTTTCTTTTCCCTGTTTCCCTTTCCCCTACCCCTCCCGCTTCCCTTACTCCTTTAAACCTTTTCTTCCTATTTCACATTTTCAATTATACATTTTGATTCTTATTTATATTTTTAGTTTTTCATACCAAAGAAACTATTCAATATGTACATATGTGTGTCCTAGTAATGTCATTTGAGAGTATAACCTCAATGTGTATCCACTTAGCTATAAATGTCTCTAGTTTTTCATTCCTTATGACTGAGTAGTGCTCCATTTTATAAAAGAACCACATCGTCTTTATCCAGTCTCCAGATGATGGGAAATTGGGCTGTTTCCAAGTTGTAGCTATCACAAACTGTGCTGCTATAAACATGGGTGAACATATATCACTGTGGTGGGATTCTATTAATTCTTTTGGGAAGATACTCAGCAGAGAAAGAGCTGGGTCCAATGGAACTTCGGATGTTGTTCCATTTTCTTATATCCTCTTTGATCACTTTTTTCAAAATGTTGTAGTTCTCAATGTAGAATTCTTTTGCTTCCCTTGTTAGGTTGATTTCCAGATATTTCATGTATTTTTCTGAGGTCAGTTACATGCTAAAATTCATTGGCACCCTGTGACAGTTCATCTTGATTGTCACATGAACTGGTTTAAGAAATCCCCAGGTGATTAATAAAGCACACTTCTGGGTGTTTCTGGATAGGTCGTCGAGGTGTGACTGTGGGGACAATAACTGGTCCCTGGCCCTTCGTCTCTGGCCTTTCCTTGCAGTCTCTGCTTTCTGCCTGTCATGAGCTTGGCAGCTCTGCTTTTCCATGTCCTCTACCTTTATGTTTCTGCTTCAGAGCCATGTGAACATGAACTGAAGCCTTGGAAGCCATGAGCTGAGCTAAACCTCTTTTCTCCTTTTCCTTTTTCTTTTCTTTCTTTCTTTTTTTACAAATTTGGTACCAGGGATCGAACTCATGACCTTATGCTTGCAAGGCATGCAGTGGAACCACTGAGCTAAATCCCCAGTCCAATCTCGTTTTTTCTAAATTGTATATGTCAGGTGTTTGTGCCAGTAGTGAAAAGCCAGAACCAAGAGAGCATTGCCTAAACTCAGTGCAATAAGTCTGTACTTCCTGAGTAACAAGCAATATCCAGTACACTAGGGAATAGAGAAATAAAAATGCATAGACATTAACCTCAATGACATAAAGAAGCAACTGCATACATGATACAGTCAGTGGTAGAAATGTCTAAGTCAAAGATAAAAATGCCCAGCTGTTTCCTGACAAACATTAAGGTCTTTTATCTTTTTTAAATGCCCTCTATTTACTGATAAGTGATAAGAAGGTTCATGATTGGTATAGAAATGTGATATTCTTCTCATATTGGGCCCTTTGCTGACTATGTCTCGTGGAATGTATTTTTTTCCCGTAAGGGAACATAATATGAAAACTGCAGTTATACATAAAACATTTAAAAATTGGTGTAGCTATAATTTGGTTTCTCTGGCTAATATACACTCATATAGAATTGATAATGTAGCGCCTAAAAGTGAGTGATGCATTTAGAATAGATCTTACACATATCATGTGAATGTACTCTTTAACTTCTACTTGTTTTTGTTTTTTTCTCATTTTAGTTCTTTTACGAAACTTCCTCATTTGGCAGGAACAGAACAAAATTTACTACTTGCCAAGAAAATTCAAAGCCAGTGGAAAAAATTTGGACTAGATTCAGCCAACTTGGTTCATTATGATGTTCTCCTGTCCTACCCTAATGAAACAAATGCTAACTATATATCAATTGTGGGTGAACATGGAATTGAGGTGATACAGATTGTTGTTACTTTCATATTTGACAATTCCATGCTTTCAAATGGGTTTGGTTATAGGGTCAAGTAAAAACAGAATTTGTTAATAGTGTAGTAGAAGTTACATATTTTATAAAAGTTTATAAATTACAAACTATTTGGTGTCTACTGCATTAGGCATAGTGCTAGGTCCTTAGGGCAGAATAAAGATGTAGATATTCTTCCTTTATATAAGGTGATGCAGAAAATGGGATGTGTTATTTCAAATAAGAATGGTGAGTGCTCTGAAGAATATGATTAGGGCTTTCTAGCCACACAGAAATGGATCATTCAGCCCAGCTTTGGAGTTAGAGAAAGAGATCTTCTTGAAAGAGTTGAAAAACATAGGCCATTGAGAAAACATAGGTGTAATCACATGAAAAAGTAAGGTCAGAGAGTTCGAGGCAGAAAAAAATCCTGGCAAAAGCTTGGAAACATATAGTAGCTTAGCATTATTGATACAATTTTAAATTTTTCTGTTTTTCAAGGGTATTAAATACAAACTGGGCTATGGTAAGAAATAAACCAGTAGATAGTTCTGGAAGCAGATGATAAAAGAGTTTATCAAGTAGCTTAAACTTCAGTTTTTGTTCCTGGGCCCTAATGAAAAATCCTAAGCAGAGGAAGGATGAGTTAGAAAGCCATTTTAGTTTGTTGGGCAGTCTGGAGATTATATCTCCACTAGGCAATGAGATGCAGTTAGCAATTTTTTTTTTTTTTTTTTT